AAAAACTAAGGTGGATTAATCAATACTAATGTTTTTATTACTTATGAGAGTCGATATTTTTATTTGTGGTTATAATTTTACCATAAAATCAATGTTGTTTTAGCGTTTATGATAGTCAATGCGAGAGTAACCATGATGACGACATTGTTAACAACCTCCAGTTGCACTTACTATGATTTATATTTATTTCTCATGTCTCTTACAATAAATTAATATTAACTTTTGTTCTATAAAATTTATTGAAAGCTCTAAAAGAGTTAAATATATTTTTATTCAAATAAACATTTTTATGATGGATAATATAATTTTTAAGTTTTGAGGAAATTTTTATTTTTTTATTTTCTTTTATTTGTACTAAATGTATTATGGTAAACAACAATTTTAATAATTTTGAATGAGAATAAATTATATGTTATAGTAAACCAGAAGTTTACATGTTTTGAATAAAATTGAATAATACGGTGAACCAGAAGTTTACAAGTTTAAATTTTAATTAGTTGTTATGATTGGTTAGATCATCACAATTAATAATGAGGCAAAAAAATTATTGAGATTTATATAAATATTAATTAAAAGAACCTGGAGTTCATGTGTTATTTATTCTCAAAAAGAAATTTAGAACATCACTAGTTAAAGTTGAGACTGAATGTCTTGCATATTTGATTAAAATATGAGCTCATTTATCAACAAAATGAATTTTTTTTGATATGATTTGAGTATATGCATCTACGAGATAAACCACATATATGTTATCAACTCATAACCTATAGTTTTCGAGATTGTTTATTCGACTAAAAAATGATAATTTCATATTATGCAATTAAAATTATTTGTCTTGCTAAACTTAGTGAGTTTATATTTCAGGCTTGTAAATATTATATTATACATCAATTGAAATAACTATCGCGAAGCATATTGTTTATGAACAAATAGTTTAGCAAAATTTTGATTGATCGTCTCCTTTTAATAGCTAAACTATAAGAATAAAATTCTAATATCTATATGGTAATTCACATATAGAAGTTATACCCATCAAGCTGATAAGTAATACCCCTCCTTATGTTTGGCTTATAGTCAGAAGTTATATATTTCCCATTATGAGATTTTTGATTGTGCATTATATGTTTATATTAATCCACCACAAATGCATAAAATTGATATTTTAAGTAGACTGAGAATATATATGTTGAGTATGAGTCTCATTTTATTGAATGTTTTGAGATACAATTATGACATATCATTTTAGTTTGATCATCGTACATGTGACGTGAATAAAAAGTTTATAAGATAATTCATTTCAAGTTAATTGTCAGAAATGTTTATTGACCTAATGAGAGTAATCAAGTCTCATATACCAGTAGAAAATGCTCTAAATTTGAACTAATATCCCATAAGGATAATATATTAGAGCAAATGAATGTAAACTATGCTCGAAACATGATAGCATAATTGGTTCAACGTTTAAAATTCTTGTAAATGAAAAATATTATAGTTGATCATATGACGGAGGTGGGTTCTCTTGAAAAGTCTAAAGACATAACTAATAATACAACTCTAAAAGCGGTTCAAGTACTTGAAAAATTAAAATGAAAATAATGAAGAGATATTGATAAGTTATGTCATAATGGGAAAAAATGGAACCAACATAGAAAAATTATCGACCATGATTTTACAAACAATATTTCTATAAAAGTAAAGAAATTAGATGATCTTGAATTGAAATCTATCCAAGAGTATAGATATGAAAATTGATTGGACAGAATAGAAAGACGTTATTCAAGTGAAGATAAACCAACTTCCAAAATATGGGCAAGTAGTTCAAACACCTAAAGATGTAATACAAGCGAGGTATAAATGAGTAGTCGTAAGATATAAAAAAAACAACTTGAATCATGAAGATTTTTAGTTCGTGGTAGATGCAATTATTTTATTACTCTTACAGTTATGGAGAAACTCTATTATGCATCTAATGCATTATGGATCCCTATATAGTGATATTTGTCCTTGAAGGATTAAAATGCAGAAGCATTTGAAAATTATTTGGAAAATTGTACGAATATATTTGCTTAAATATACATACAAAATGAATTGGTCTACGAGTATATGTATATATGCATCGATAAGAGCCTATTTGCTCACGTGTCTTTATAAGAATATCAAGATCAAATTGTGATAATTATTGTAAACTTTGAATTAAACTCCTGAAAAGCTTTTCCGAAGAGTTTAAAAAGCATCTTGATCCTTTAAAGAAAATTTATGATTTAGCACTTGAATATGAATTTGTCTATGAATATACACATAGTAAAAAATATTAAAAAGATTGAATATGAATAAAACTATTGATCCAATATATTTGAGAAAATATGTGATTTACTTTCACATAATAAGATGTCATCTATCTTGTACAAAGATAATGCATATTGTATAACTCACTAAAAAGAGAATACATCAAAGGAAACATATTTTCCAAAAAATTTCCTTCCTCATGATCTTTAAAAGAAGAGTAATATAAACATCCGAAGAATTTGTTCAAGTGATAATTTAAAAGATCTAATCATTAGATTATCTTTTCCTTAAACATTTGAAGATTGTATTAAATTTTGAATTCTAAAGCTTAAAGATCTTATATGATATGATTATGAGGGAGAGTAAACACATGTTGTACTCTTTTCTCCTTAACCAAAGTTTTATCCCATCAGATTTTCCTTATGATATGATCAAGAGGGAGAATAAACACATGTTGTACCCTTTTCCCCTTAACCAAGGTTATGTCCCATCAGATTTTCTTTATAAGGTTTTAATTGAGGCACATTATCTTCATAGACATTCAAGGGGAAATACTATGACTATTTATTTATTTATGTGGATGCCTATCCTAATTTATAAGATAAGATTTTGATGTGCATTATCATTAGATCTCTAATATCCATTAGTATTAGAGTTGTATATTAAATCTACTACTTACGACTATAAATATAAAGGTTAACTATTGTACTCAACTCAGATTGAGATAATAATATAGTTCTCTCTCCTTATTCTTATAACTCTTCTTGTTCTTCTTTTTGCTTCGTTCATTTTAGTTTCATAACATCTACATCTACATGTAATAAAATATTTTTATGTTTATATAATTTAAATTTGAATCAAATGACTTTAGTAATTAAGAGACTTGCTATTATCCATTAAGATTCTGAGTTCGAGCATAGCATATGTCAGAGATATGAGCGTTCATTGTCAAATGATTGAGAGTCTTTAAAGGGATATTGTCTTACATTAAATCCAAATTAAAAAAAAAACTCGAATCAATTTATTAAATAAAATTCTTTTTAACTTTCTCAATACGATTGACTGTTTTTGAATTTTGACATATTTCGATCATTCTCTCTTAAAAATCAGTTTCAACAATTTTAATCCTACATGGGCCGTTACTATTTTTAATTTTAAAAATAAAAAATTGTCCCCATTTAATGAAACCAAATAAAATAACATGTCATTAAAATAAAATAAGAGTACCATTATAAACAGGTATGCTCGCCAAAACTACACAAAATAAAATATGTACCTCAGAATGAATTCCTAATAAGTAACGAGACCCTGTTCTCATGTGAAAAAGATAGGAGTGAACAATGATCTTTTCCATCAAGAAGATTTAAACGAATGTATAACCCCTTGTAAAAAGATTAAATAGTGAGTAATCAACCAATTAATCTCAGTTGTTAAAGAAATTGTTTTTATCCCTAGAGATTAAAGGTTCGAGCACTAATAGAGTGATTTTATTTTTGGTACACAAAAACTATAGGTAAGGAGTGACTCCCCCAATCTAAAGTCAGGGCATACCTAAGACTAAATTGAGATTTATATAGGACTTTACATATTGTCCACCAAGAGTGAAGTGGTGGGATTCGAAGTTGGCCTTACAAGCTCAAATTCTCAAAACTCACCACTTGTGCCAACACTCATTGGTACACCAACAAACTACATTATAAGTTTATTTAGGTGTTTAAAGATTTTTTCATTAACAATAAGTGCGACGTAACATTTGTTCCATTATACTTTTTGATGCCTACAATAACAACCGTTAAAAAGTTAAATGACACGTGTCAAATTTATAAAATTTTAAGATTTAAAATCCCTAATTTCAATCTTCATTACCCTTGTCGGTCCAGCACTGTTGGCCAGACACCATCGGTCTAAATCTCTTACTTCTTCCCTCTATGTTGTTGAAATCCCTAAATTGTTATACTCAAATTCCTACATCTTAAAACCTTAAATCTCGAATTCTAATTGGGTTAAGAAATATGTTCGTCGATGTTATAGATGGAAGTGGAGGTTCATATATGGGGGTTTGGGTGGCCCCAAGTTGTTGAACGAGGAAGGGGGTTTAGCAGGAATGGGCAGGGGACTTCGGAAAGGGAGGCACGCATAAGGGGAAGGGTTGAGAATTAGGGTTTTTGATTTTTTCTAAAAAATATTTTTTAAAATATAATATTTTTTCAATAATAAAAATTTTAAAAACTATAAGTACAACAAGTGTGACTTAATAATTTTTTTAATAATCGTTGTTGTATAGACACTTAAAAATATAATAAAGAAAATGTTAAGTCCTATTTTTAATAAAAAAGTTATTTAAATACCTAAAATTAATTTAAGATATAATTTAAACAATTTTATATTAAATCTTTATTTATTTATCTATTGTAAGAATCACATTAGCTTGAACTTTTATATATTTCCGTGCTTTTCTCTTAAAAATCAATTTTAAAATTTTTAATCAAACATGTTTCATTCATTAATTTTAGTTTTAAAAAATAAAAATAAAAATAATCCCCACCTACTGAAACCAAATAAAATAACCTTTTTTTCTTACTATTTATCAATAGAATAGAGTGACATTAGGTTGGGATTATCGGGAAATTTAATGGAAAAGTAGCAACAATTGTAATAATATTCCAACTAATTAAATACAATTAGTTAAACCGATAAAACTGAAAGCCTTTTGGTGTTCCCTTTCTTTATTGCGTCGTCGAGTCATCATCCAGTCTGGTCAACCCACACGAGAAGAGATTCAAGATTTGATATCTGAAGTTCCGATTTTGATCTTAATCGAAGCAGGCAGATCCATGAAAACCTCCTCCTATTCCTTGTGTTCAACATAAGTAAGATCTCATCAAGTCTCTTCCTTAATCCATCTTTTTTTGTGGATTTGGAATTGGATGGCTTCTTCCGGGAATCCCAATCTGCAACCCCAAAGCGGCGGCGCAGGTGAAAGCGGCGGCGGCGGAGGGATCGATTTGAATAAACTTTTCAAACCCAGTTCAGGCCCTATGCCGCAGCATCTTCAAAACATGAACGTAGTAGCAACTCCTCCAATTCCCAACACTACCAACCTTACTACATCTCCTTCTTTCCCGGCCCAATCCTCCACGCCGCCTCCGCCGCCTTACTTGATGCCTTCATCCTCTTATCCTCCGCCTACTGGGCCGTACCCTTACCACCACCACTACCTTCCTTATCCTCCTCCTCCTCCCCATCAACACCCCTTGCATCCTAGTCCAAACCCACCACAGCTTCATATTAATGGACCCATTCCTTTTCAACCCCAACCCTCAGCACCCGCCACTTCTACTTCAGGAAGCGACGTTTTTATGGCGTTTATGGGTTCTCGATCCCAGTCACAAGCTCCTGCAACTCCCCCTTCTGCCCCACCTCTTACTTTGAATGTCAACCCATGGCCATCTGTTCCTTCGTCTCCCTCGCCTGCCCGACTGTTGAGTAGCAAGGTCCCCAAGGGAAGGCATCTAAATGGAACCAATCTCGTTTATGATATTAATGTGAGGTTGCCCAGTGAAGTACATCCCCAACTTGAGGTCACTCCCATTACCAAGTATGCTTCTGATCCCGGCCTTGTTCTTGGTCGTCAGATTGCTGTTAATAGGAATTACATTTGCTATGGTCTCAAGCTTGGGAATATCCGTATCCTCAACATCAACACCGCCCTCCGATCCTTGCTTCGTGGCCACACTCAGGTATATCTATTTAATACACGCCTACTTTTCTTCTATCAAGTTTCTATTTTTAACCATCTCATTACCGGCTTAACCTTGTCATTTGATTCGTGTTTACAAATGTAGAGAGTAACTGATATGGCTTTTTTTGCCGAGGATGTCCACCTTTTGGCCAGGTACTCCTTTTTATTCGTTTTTTTTTCTTGGAATAAATTGACTTCATTTGTCTCATAGTGAGCATCTTTCATTTTCTGCAGTGCAAGTGTTGATGGCCGGGTTTTTGTATGGAAGATCCATGAAGGCCCTGATGATGAAGATAAGCCGCAAATTTTTGGCAAGGTTATTATTGCCATTCAAATTGTGGGGCAAGAAGAGTCGAAGCATCCACGAGTCTGTTGGCATCCTCACAAACAAGTAATGAAAAATGGGTTTGTATTTTATGTTATCAAATTGTAACTGTCATGCCTAGTCTTTGTTTTTCTTCTATAGTGTTGCTTTTCCTGTCCATATTTTTTTATTCCTTGTTGTAAATGTTCAACAAATATTATCAAACAGGAGATCTTGATGGTTGCTATTGGAAATCGTATCCTGAAAATTGATACAATGAAAGTTGGAAAACTCGAAAGTTTTTCAGCTGAGGAACCTCTTAATTGCTCTGTTGATAAGCTTATTGATGGAGTTCAGTTTGTTGGTAAACATGATGGTGAGATTACGGAGTTGTCAATGTGCCAATGGTTGACCACCCGTTTAGCTTCAGCTTCTGTAGATGGCACGGTTTGTACCCTAATATTTTCCTCATTCTGCTTTCATGGTCTCTATTTTAGTTCAGCTTTTTTTTTGGGGGGGGGGGGTGTGTGCAAGTGAAAATGAAGATTGAATAATGCATCGAATACCTGATTGCCATATCTTGAAGCAGAAAACCTCTTTGAAGTTCAAAGGTTTTCCTATTACTGCGTAACCTGAAATGTTTTATTTCCGTCTAACATGATGCCTGATGCATGATGAGCCATTTTAGTGCATGTAAAAGATCTTTTGTAGTCCAAAGTGAGAATACTGGGAATCAAGTACCTGAAAGCCGTTGACCTTTTAATGCCCGTAAAACTAAAGATTTTGGTTTGGCTTGTGTTAGTTGTTCCATTAGGCTTGAATGCTTGGGTAGTTGGGTTCAGAATACACTGTTTTTATTCATTCTTCAATCAGGTATTAATCTTTGTGGAAACTGTTAATTTCTGTGACAGGTGAAAATTTGGGATGACCGTAAGCCCTTACCACTTGCAGTGTTGAGACCACATGATGGACTTCCTGTTAGCTCAGCAACATTCTTGACTGCTCCACACCGCCCTGATCATATTGTTCTTATCACAGGAGTAAGCTTCCGTTTCTTTTCATTTTTATAGATCAGTTCTATGACCATGTTAAGCTTATGTGATTTTGACAGAAAATCACTTCTTTTGTGCTACTAATGTGGCATAAATTCACTTTTCATTATGTTAAATGTCTAATTTGCTACTTTCCTTTTACTCACAGGGCCCATGTTAAGCTTATGTGATCTTGACTGAAAATCACTTCTTTTGTGTTACTAATGTGGAATAAATTCACTGTTCATTATGTTTAATGTCTAATTTGCTACTTTCCTTTTACTTATAGGGCCCACTAAACCGTGAAGTGAAAATGTGGTCCTCTTCAAGTGAAGAAGGCTGGTTGTTGCCCAATGATGATGAATCATGGCAGTGTACCCAGACACTGGAATTGAGGTGTTCTGCTGAGTCTGAGGTTGACAATGCATTCTTTAACCAAGTTGTGGCACTGCCCCGTGCAGGCCTACTTCTGCTTGCAAATGCGAAGAAGAATGCTATATATGCCGTACACATAGACTATGGGCCTTATCCAGCAGCTACCCGCATGGATTACATAGCTGAATTCACTGTCACGATGCCTATATTGAGTCTCACTGTAACAAGTGATAATTTGCCAGGTGGAGAATCTGTCCAAGTCTACTGCGTTCAAACACAGGCTATTCAGCAATATGCTTTGGAATTGTCTCAATGCCTGCCTCCACACCTGGAAAAGACAGACATGGATAAAACAGATTCCAATACTTCTCGCAGTTTTGATGGCATGAACTCTGATGGTTCTGCTTCTCTGGAATTAGCTAATGGATATAAACCAACTGACGTGACTCTAAATTCCTCAGTTCCGTCGTCATCTATAAAATCAGGTAGCCCTGAAGGTGCTGCCATGCCGAGCAGTTCACAAATATCAGCTTCTGCAGAGGCGACTTCCATTTTCGAGAGTGATGTGTTTGGAATGGAAAGTAAGCCAAGTGCTTTGCCGACTGGTAGTAGTGCTGAAAATTTGCACACTGCATCACCTCCACTTCCGTTAACAACAAGGTTATCACAAGAGTCTTCTGGTTTTAGAAGTCCATCGAGTGCTGGTCATGTTGACCGTCCTGCACATGATCATTCTGTTGACCACAAAGTGGATATGGTCAAAGAGAATAAGATTGAAAGCCCCTACTCAGATGATCACATGCAGAAAGGTGAAGATATTGCTCAAAACGACATTTCAACTGTTCCTGATCCTCATACGGTGTTCAAACATCCAACCCATCTGGTTACACCTTCGGAGATATTGTCTATTGTGTCTTCATCAGCAGAGAATGCACAGAATAGTCAGGTTACTAATGGGGATGAGACAACAGTTGAAGATGTGGTCAAGAATGATGCTGAAAGGATAGAGGTAGATGATGAAGTTCATGATGAGAGAAGACTTGGTCAAAGTAATGAAACAAAATGTCCACAGGGCTCTCATACTACTTTTGCAGATAACAAAGAAAAGGCATTCCACTCTCAGGCATCAGATCTTGGCATTCAGATGGCCAGAGATTTTTGTTCAGAAAGTTATGATGTTGAGGGAGATCAACAAGCTAAACGCATGGGTGTTTCAGTTCAAGCAGATAGACTTACTAATGGTGGTGATGGGGGTGACCAAAATGTAAATGAAGATGCCCCTTCAAAGGTTGGTGAAACAGACACCGCTGTGACTGTTTCCCCATCTCCTGCTTCTGCTAAAGGGAAAAAGCAGAAGAAGAAAACTTCTCAAGTATCTATCCTCTCTTCCCCTTCAGTGAACCCTTATAATTCCACAGATTCATCTAATGAACCTGGGTGCAATTCCGGGGCTCCGTCAGCTAATGCTATTTCCACTCAGTTGCTGGCCATGCAGGATATGCTTGAACAGGTAGTTTTTTTCTTAAAAAAAACACTATAAACAGATTTTTGAAAAAAAGTATTATTTCCTTTAGAAAGAATATTAAAGTATCTCCTGTCTATATACTCGTGTTTGTGTGTTAACATTTGTGATACAATGTTAGTATAATTATTTTGTTGCACCAAGCAGTCCCTTAGTATGCAGAAGGAAATACAGAAGCAGATGAATGCAATTGTTTCTGCTCCAGTTAACAAAGAAGGGAAAAGACTGGAAGCATCCCTGGGCAGGAGCATTGAGAAAGCTGTAAAGGAAAATACAGATGCCTTATGGGCTTGTTTCCAAGATGAAAATGCAAGACTAGAGAAGTTAGAAAGAGACCACATGCAGCAGATAACAAATTTGATCTCCAACTGTGTTAATAAGGACTTGCCAGCCGTGTTCGAGAAATCCTTAAAGAAGGAAATAACTGCAGTTGGTTCTGTTCTGGCTCGGGCTATTAGTCCCACGTTGGAGAAAAGTATATCTTCTGCCATTACAGAGTCATTCCAGGTAATCAAGAATGGTCAAATTGTGGTGACGTATCAGAGTGTTTGGTGTCCTATATGACTGTTCATTTATTTGGACAGATGAACCAGTATAGCATTAAAAGTTGCGTCTTGGCACGGGTCAATATGTGATATTCATAGGAAGAATTTTGTATTTAATGTATTGTGTTCTCTTGAATTTGATGAAACTGGTGAATTAAAAAAAACCCTAAACACTAAATAGTTCTTTTTGTAATTGCAAATGCTAATAGTAATTTGACGTCTTAACCAGTCCTGATCTTATTATTGAAAATATTCTGTAAAGATTCCTTCTATGTTCTTTTACTTTGTTTCTGGGTAAAATTTGGTGATGCCTCAAACGTTTTTTCACTATTTGTTGCTGTGGTAGCTTTCATTCTTCAAGCAGCTTCATTATATTCTAGTGAATTTTCTCCTCTTAATGTAGTAACTAAAACTATGGTAATTATATTATTGGGTTTTTAATTGGGTATTTTACAGAAAGGAGTTGGAGAGAAGGCAGTGAATCATTTGGAGAAGTCAGTCAGTTCAAAACTTGAAGTGACATTGGCCAGGCAAATCCAAGCACAATTTCAAACTTCTGGAAAGCAAGCTCTTCAGGTAATTTCTTGTTCATGTATACTCTTTTTATGCGTTATTCAGCTGTTTTTTTCTCTTCTGTATTCATTTGAACCCTCCTGTGCATTTCTCTTTCACAATTTGGAGCTTGATAAGGAAAGATAATTTATTTCTAGGTGATTAAGGTTCATTTAGAAGAATTTAGATCGGTGAATGTATTCTTCTTTAACAAATAAGCATTCAAATGTTTCATGGGCATTTCTGAATGAAATTCTACCACCTTTCACAGGGCTTTCTACCTTCATTGTAAAATGCAATTACATGTATTGTCCAATATCACCAAATTCAATAGATAAGTTGTACCCTACTAAATGTGGAAGCTTTCTTTATGGATTGGTAGCAACTCTAAATGGCAGTTCTAAAAGAAATTCACACCTTTCATAGTGCTTTCTACCTTTATTGTAAAGCGCTATTGCATTACTGTCCAATATCACCAAATTTACTAGATAAGTTGTATCCTACCAAAATCATAAGCTTCCTTTATGGGTTGGTAGCAATTCGAATTTCTGGTCTGCATGAACTTCTTGTACCTATTTTTCTGTCTAGTTTATGTGGATACTCTATACAGTTGGTTGATCTTACACGGGTAAGCTGCTCTGAATTCAAAGTTGATTTTTTTTTTTGGATTGGGGTGTGTGTGTGTGGATAACTTTTTGGCTTTAAAACCCATCAGATGAATGTCCAAAAACAGTGTCGAGTTCTCTAGGTTTTTTTTAATATACGTCCCTGAATTCAATCTTTTTTAGTTATCCCCTCCTATTGGTCATCCTCCCTGTTGACGTTTTGCTGACCTTTTTCTTTTTGGTTGGAGTAAAAGTCCATATATCTTCCAACATGAATCCAGATAATATTCTCTCTACATTCTGCAGGATGCACTAAGGTCTAGCGTGGAAACTTATGTTATTCCAGCATTTGAGATGTCATGCAAATCCATGTTTGAGCAAATTGATGTAACATTTAAGAAAGGGCTAAGAGAACACACAGCTACTGCTCATCAGCAATTTGAAAAATCACATTCGTCCGTTGCTGCTACTCTACAGGTATGGTAGATTAGTGAAAATTTCGTGATTTCTTAGATTATGGCTTGTTTCCTACTTTAATCTGTTAAAAATGTCAAAGTTGAGGTTTCTTGGTAGAATAACTATTAGCAAATTTGATTTAATATGTTTTCTAGGATAAGTTGCAGGAGAGTATTTTTGCCATTTTCTGATAGCTGTAGATTGACTGAGGTAGCAAAATGAGTTTTATACGGTGATAGAGGTGGCTTTAACCGAACATTTTTCTTGCAAAATCTGGTTGCCTGATTATTCTTGTAAATTAGCAAGATAAGTTCTGAAGGTAGATATTTATGACCAATATTAGGATTTGTGCTTGAATGGGAGACTTCTAAGAATATAGTATCATAGCCTGGTGCTTTTACACTGACATGCACAGAATTGAACTGAAGAAGGATGGCCTTTAATATTAGGTGAAAGATTATGTTTTAGGGTACTATTCTATGTTCTCAAGAAGTTCACTAGTGGATGATTATACGGCTGTCAGCAACCCATTTTAATGATGTCCAATATGATGAAATTTAAGAAGGCAGTTTTTTACATTTAAGTCTTTTAAGATGGCCTGCTGCTTTATATTTGCAGGATGCTATTAATTCTGCAGCTTCAATCACTCGAACTTTAAGTGGAGAATTGGCAGATGGGCAACGAAAACTTCTAGCTATGGCAGCTGCAGGTGCCAACTCTAATGCAGGAAATCCCTTGCTGTCACAATCAAGTAATGGACCGTTGGCTCATCTGCATGAGATGGTATGCTCCCTCCCTCCCTCCCTCCCTCCCTCTGTTTCTCTCCTCAGAACTCTCAGGAAACAGAAAGGAAGAAGCAAATCTGACACGAGGACTAACGTATTCGTTTACATATAATTATAACCATTCATGTTTATCTGCCTCACACCAAACTGTTATACGTGTGTGCAGCAGCCAGAGGCAAATACGGATCCAGTGAAAGAGTTGGGAAGAATGATAGCTGAGAAGAAATACAATGAAGCATTCACCGCAGCGCTGCATAGAAGTGATGTGTCCATAGTTTCGTGGTTGTGTTCTCAGGTAAGTTAACAAAGGATGTATTAAACTTAGACATGTATCCGGTGTTTGAGAGCTGAAAGTGGTTGGTGTGAATTGAATTAACCAGGTTGATCTGCAAGGGATACTGTCGATGAAACCATGCCCACTGAGCCAAGGAGTATTGCTAGCACTGTTCCAGCAACTGGCTTGTGATATAAATACAGAAACAAGTAGAAAGCTGGGATGGATGACTGATGTAGGAGTGGCCATAATCCCATCAGATCCAACAATAGCCATGCATATGGTGCCCATCTTTAGTCAGGTGTCCCAGATTGTGGATCATCTTCAAACCACGTCTTCTTCTACATCTGCATCTGAATCCGCCACCATCCGCCTCCTTAAGTTTGTCATCAACAGTGTGTTGAGCTGTAAATGATTGATTGTGTTCACTTTTCAACAATATTACTCCTTTGCATTTATATATAGGAACAATGCACTGAGAAGACGTGTGGGCATTTTTAATGAATTCAGTTGGTTATTTCAATTTGTGTGAAATGGTGTAATTTATTTATTTTTGCTTATTAAACCAAAGATCTATCGTGGCTGAAATAGAGAGACAGCAAGGATTTATGGCGGAAATATTCAAGCCCCAATGATATTAGTATAATTTTAAAAAAAATATTTTATCGATAACAAATAAAATAGAAAATTTGGAATTATTATTAAAAACATAATAAATAATATAATATAAAACTTTTATACTTTCGAAAATATTAAAGATGTGACAAATTTTAATATTATGTATATTTCAATTCGTATAAATATTATATGATTTTGTAATATTTATATTTTAGCATGCATGTAAAGAAATAGTTTTTGATTAAAAAATAAAAAACATTATATAAATTTCGTGAAAATTATTATTTATAATTTGATTTTATTATATTTTAATAATATGTATAATATTAAAATGAACTAATACAAAATCAAAGATATATGATGAAACTTCAATCTAGTTCTAACGTAAACTAAATTAAATTTTAACCATAAATTTGACTCAAATTATATGAGTTAATATATTTAGTTTATCTTTTTCCTTTTATCAAAATATTGATTACTTGTCACTGGACAGTATCCAATGAAATACGAAACAGGAATATATAAAATAGCATGTTATTTAAAGATTAAGAATTTATACCAACGATGTCAGCTCAAGTGGTAAGCTCTAAATAGTTTGATATCGTTTAAGCATGCCTCGAGTTTGAGTCTTTGTGTATGCAAAAAATTTTCGTTAGGAGACTCACCCATCAAAGTCAGGTTTGCAACGCGGGTAGGTTCGGATTAATCAAAGCAAAGCTTTGAAAACGGGAGAGCAACCAAAAAAATATTAAGAATTTATAATTTATAAACATTAAAAATTTATAATTAATATTATAAGCATAAGAACAAATTATAACATAACAATATTATAAATAAAAAATATAGATTTGATTATGATATAGATATAAATTTTGGGTCCTTATTTTTAAAGGAATATTAATTATAAATTTATTATTATAGTTCAATTTTAAAGAAAGTCGAAAGATTATATGCTACATGCGTTGAGTTTGAGCACTTTCCCAGGAAACATACACTAGATTCACGTTCAAGAGGCAAAAAGTGAGTGAACTAGAATTTTTATGGTCCAATTGTTATCGTTAATGATGGTTGTCAATGGCTGACAACTACAATGGTGAGTAGCAACCAACATCACTAATTTTATTTAAATTTAAGGGTTAAATTAAAATTTTATTTAAAATCCAGGGTTCAAATAATATTTTATTTAAAGTTTAAGGGTAAAATTAAAATTATTCATTTTTACTGACAGATCAGGTCATCAAACCAACCAAATTAACGCCCTAGTAACTAGAATATAACAATAAAAATGTAAGTGACTAAAATCGATAATATAAATGATTTAAACATAATTTTATAAAAATCAATGATAAAAATAATTAACTCTTAAGAAAAATATCCAGCTTTCAACTTTATTTGTCGACTGCTAATAAATTATACTCACCTCAAAACACCAACTTTAGAGCCAATATCTATAGAGTGGCTGAAGATGAAATACTTACAATTCCTTTGTCAAGCAGCAAGCATGAGCCTTGTGAGGCTTCAGTAAAGCCCTACACTGTTGATAAACTGAAGTAGGTATCGGGGGATTAGGGTTTGAGAGGCAATTTTTTTTTTAATTTTAGGGTTTAAAAATGGGAGATTTTAGATTCGATTAAAAAACTCATTTTATTTGAAAATTTTAGGTGGAATATGTGTTTGGAGGATGAAGAATCAGTGAAGAGAAAAAAACAGAAAGGAGAAAAAGAAATCTCTTGATGAGGAGGAAAAAACATGATTATTTTATTAGTTTGAAGTGATTAAAAAGATCGTAACGCTTTAAAAAGAAATAACCAATTCTCATTAAACTCCCCCTCTTAATTCAGACGAATCAAGACTCGTCCGAAACAATAGAAGAATAAAAGAGTACTCGATGGATATTATTCAACCACATCCCAAGCGAAAAAACCAACAAAAAATGAGGTGTAGCAGCCATTAGAGCACACTACCCATCTTAATTTATCAGCTTCAATGGAGTGGTTAGGTGTTATTCTTCATTTAATCACTGAGATCACTTGATAAATTATTTTGAACAAAGAATTAATGTATAAAATATATACATTTTAAAGATTAAAAATATTATTATATCATATTATGTTATAATCTTGATTAAAAATAAAATATAATATTGAGTACAATTTTATTAAAAATAATATTATATAAAAACAAAACACAAAGATAAACAAAGTATACCCTTAATTTTTTTAACGATTAACTAAATTTGAGAATATCGTGTATAATTCGTTATCAGTCTACCAACTTATACCTTATTTATGTGTTGAACATTAGTCTAGTTTGTATCCATGCAGTGTGATTATTAGTGATCAATGGAGTTTTATTCTCTCTTGATAATTTAGATTCAAACAACATAATTTACACGTGTATAAGCTTAGATCTAAATCTTTTAAAAATACATTAATCTAATTTATTAACAAATAACATCACATAACTTGTTTATCTATATATATTAATACTACTATTGAAAAAAATATTAATACTAACATATAAATACTAAATTAAGTAAAAAAAATGACAAGATGAGGCCAAAATGAAGCTTCTAGTTGGTGGTTGAATGGCTATGGCACAGCTAGGCGTGCTTAGTTGAGTAGCTCGTGAGCAACTTGACTCAACAAGTTGACTAGACTCGGGTTGATTCGACTCAAACTCGAGCTCAACTCGAGATCTTAACGAGTTGAGTTGAATAAACTTGACTCAACAACTTCGTGAGCAACTTGTTAAATTTTTTATATAATTTTAGTAGTTATCTTATTATTTCATACACTTAAAAATCGAACCTATTTATTATTTTAATGTATATGTGGATTGCTACTTTAGAGTTTAGACTTTAAAATTACTTCATACACTCTTTTGATATTTTTTTGGTAAAATTTATTAATTTATGTTTATATTAAGTTCTATATAGTATTAGTAGATTTTACCTATAATTAAGAAAATAAGATAAAAATTTTGGTGAGTTTAATGAACTACGAGATGAGCAATGAGCTTAGAGCTTAACGAGTAATGAGCTTAACGACGAACGAGTAGAGCAACAAGTTTCCTTAACGAGCACGAGACGAGCAAAATTTTAATGAGCTTAACGAGCAACGAGTTGAGTCGAGCAACAAATTTTTTTAACGAGTATGATTCGAGCACTGCCTAACTCACTATCGACTCGCTTGATAAGTACCTCTAGTCGCAGCTAAATTTGCAGACGTGATTACATAAAATGAAGATAAAAACAAAAATATGGGGCTCTTACGTAGATGGAGAGCCATGAAGATTAAGTTGTTAATAATATCTTCTAAACCACTAACGTTTTAGACGTAATTGTGTGTTCTTTTGGATTGCGTATATATATATATTTAACACCCTCAGACTGTTCGAGTTATCAGGATTTCCAGTCAATTAAACCAATCAATCCCAACTTTGCGATACTTGCCAATCTTTCAGACCGAGGTATCTCACCATTATTCACTTCTTAATACTGACTGCTCTAGTAGAAATGATTACCTTCAGAATCATCGTTGAATGGATCTTAGGGAGACGAACATGTATTCCAATGATATTTGTTTCATTTCTGTATTGCAACGATATCAAGAAATGTCGATGTGCTTGATTCAGGGTTCTTAACCCTTATGGACGGTAGAACATATAAGTTCATCAGAATTTTCAGACTTATCTAAGTCATCCACTTAATTCTAGGTCATAGAGAGTACTTAGGTCATTTAGTATTCAAGTTTATCCCGGTCATTTCGGAGTTTCAGAGTAATTCGATCATTTCAACGATTCAGATACGTACAATAGTTCCATTCAGTTCAACTTTGTCATATAATATAGTCATTTTGGTATTCGAGGATGATTTATTCATATTGGAGCTTAGGTGTATTCAGTCATTCCAGGGCTTGGAGGTACTTTGGGTCATTTTACACTTCAGGGGTATTTTGGTCGTTTCCTTCAATCCAGTCTTTCCATTTAATTCAATTTTTCCGAACAATTCAAACATAAATAGTACTTCAGATGTTTAACCTTTAGGTGTTCGGTGATAAATTAATAATTCTAGGTCTTGTTGTACCTTCTCGGATATTAAGATCTTATTATCGGTGACATTCCGAACAAATTAGGAATTTAACAGGTGCATCAGTATTTTATTCGATTAAATACGAATTCTCAGGGTACTTTCACTATCAGGGTTACTCTGAACCATTTTTACCTCATAACGGTAATTTTGTAATTTCTTAACTAGGTGATTTCGGTATTACAACTTTTAACGAGAATAATTAGAATTTAAAGATTCTGAGGTTGATTGCTTTATTAGTTAATCACTGAACCTGAAATTATTTCTTATCAGTCTTCTAGTATCTTATACGTGTAATCTGAGTCTTATTCAATTTAATTACTTTACATCGTATTCTGATCGAGTTTAGAAATATTAACTACACATTTAACCAATACCAACATGTTCCATAAAGCATACATAAGGTAGTAATGTATTACCTCGATTTTCAAGCCACATCGGTTAACCAATTAAACTACATTTGATCATCCTCGAACTTTAATTCCATGTTCCATAATGTCTCGGATACAAGGCAAAACCAATTACATTTGAAACAAAACTTAAACGTGAAAATTCGTATTGAATTGGGAGATAAAATGCCAAAAAATAGCTTACCGAGTTCATATTTGGCAAAATAGACTTTGGATTTAGACTCAGGACGTCGAAAAACATAAAATAGAACTTTTAGGAAAATTTGAATTTTTGGTCAAAGTCAAAGAGCAGGTCAACAGTCAGGTCAAAGTTAACGATTTGGGTCAAGGTCAATGGGTCAGACTAGTTCGGGTTGACTCGGGTTGGTTTGGGTTGACTCAGACTGGTTCGGGTTGACTTAAACTGGTTCG